GTGTTTATGAATTATACAATTCTCTTTAAATATAATGTCACAATAGTAACAACGTGGCGAGACGTCATTTGTTAATAAACGCATGTAAAATTCAAATTGTTTATTATTTATTATTAAAAAATGACACGTTGGCTAAAGTTCTGTGTTGAAAGATATATATGATTCATATTTATAATATGAATAATATGAATTTATAATATATATGATATATGATATACTGTTTAGTTTATACTCTGCGTTATTGGAATATCTCAATTTTCTTACTAACGCACGTACGTCCTTCCGTTTATTTAACATGATAAAGCGCGGGCGTGCTGTAAAAATCGGGTGCCAAATGATTTCTGATTTTCATAAAACGCTTATATCTCGGCAACCGTAAATGATAGAAAGATGATTAAAGAAAGACTTTGTACTTAATACTTTGCCCTATTGGTATTACTCACGTATATTACTCGCACGTATGTACTTTCGTTCATTAAAGCAATAAAGCGCGAACTGGCCAAAGAATCGTACGCCTCGCCATTCATCATTTTCATTAAACGCTTATATCTCGGCAACCGCAAACGATAGAAAGATGATTTAACTATCACTCGTTATAGTTTGAAATCTGCCCTATTAGACGTAGTCATTATTAATACTGGCAATTTTACAGTTTCACGTACTAAGACGAGAAAGTGCGCAAGATCTTAACGAAACGTGCGCCGAGCAACTTTTTATTTTATTTTAACATTTCAGAGCTTCGATTTCTCACCGAGAGCCGCCGGACGGTATTCGTGGCTACACATTTCTTGTTGGCTAGCATTTTGCAACAGCATTCTAAAACTCTTTATCGTCTAATATTGTTCGAGAGAGTATGCTTCACATTAAAGGACACATAACAATATTCAAATAAACTTATTTCTCGAGATTCAGTCGGTGTCGCGTATCGTACGTATTTAATTCAGCTAGAGCGCCGATTTTCAGATACGCGCGACACCGACTTATTAATATCTCGAGAAATATTGTTATGTGTCCTTTAATGCGAAACATACTCTCTCGAACAATATTAGACGATAAAAAGTTTTAGAATGCTGTTGCATAATGCTAGCCAACGAGAAAAAGGAGCTACGAATGCCGTCGCTCGCGCTCGGTGGGAAGGTAGACGGTCCAAAATGTTACAAACGACACAAAACAAATCTTGAGAAATACATTCATCTCATCATTTTTATGTATCCTTTAATGTGAGGCATGCTCTCTCGAACAAGATTAGACGATAAAGAGTTATAGAATGCTGTTGCATAATGCTAGCGAACGAGAGAAAGAAGCTAATTGTAGTTCGCTCAACGAGAAAGTCGGAGCGCCGAAAATGCGACAAATGACACTTAAAAAAACTCGAGAAATACGTTCGTTTTATCATTGTTATCTGTCCTTTAATGTGAGGCATGCTCTCTCGAACAAGATTAAACGATAAAAGGTTATAGAATGTTGTTGCATAATGCTAAGCAACGAGAATGCCGTGGCTGCAATATTCGCTCGGTGAGAAAATCGGAGCCTCGAAATATGACAAACGACACTTAAACAAATCTCGAGAAATACATTCATCTTATCATTTTTATGTATCCTTTAATGTGAGGCATGCTCTCTCGAACAAGATTAGACGATAAAGAGTTATAAAATGCCTTTGCATAATGCTAGGCAACGAGAGAAAGGAGCTATACGAATGCCGTCGCCCGATACTAAACGAGTCTCAGAAATTATACGTTGATACAATAATGCTAATTGTTTCATGAGCTTGTTAATTTCCATTAAATAATTGGAAATTTTTTATCAAAGTAAGTATTATATCTTGCTGTTCCGAGAAAAATACATGCTTTACGGGTTTTCTCAATTTACTACGGTGTCATGATCACCGTGAGAAATGAGTTGGAGCGTTTTACGTGCCGCATAAGCGTCACGTAATTGTAATTTAAACAAATATAATTAATAAATATACTAATAATAAACGAAATTTCGTATTTTAGTGTTTATAGGTTAAATTTAAACAATTAAAAGAATTTGATCACGTATCGTAGAGATGCACAAAAGATCATAACAATGGTTGAAAGTACATATTTTATTAAGAGGTTAGGCGAAAATGGATTCTCAGCGTCGAAAACTTGCGTTTAAATCAGCAAAAATATCAGCATAGCATGTTAAGCAAGGAGGTTGACGGAGATATTCTAAACGAGGGTGTTGCCTCCCCACATTGCCTCCGCTTAGTCGCGCCGCTATTGGTCAGAGCGCGAGAGCCTACTGCCCCTTCTGTGCATACCCGTCAGCGCTCTGATTGACCGTCGTGGTCGGCTGGGCTGGGCATCCGTACCGCGCGCCGTTCCGACGGCGGTGGGTTAGTGGGGGTAGGCGTGCCGCTGCTAGAATACCTCCCTCGCTCATCATGCTTCCCGCGTAACAGGAGCGATTTCTGAGGAATTACAGACGACTCCAAACTCGCGATTCTCGCTTTTCTCACAACTCAAAATTTTTTTCATAATTTTTATGATCTTTCAAGCGTCTCAACGAATGCATAATGTATTTCTCACTATTACTTAATAATAATTTAATACTAATATGTATTGTTCATTAAATTAATATGTACTTATTAATAACATTTGTTTATGTGATACATTATGTATATATAATTCACGCGTACGCATAAGCGATATGTGTATATTGCAAGATTAACAATAAGATGATAACAAATTGAAATCAACTGTAATGAATGTTTTATCCAACGAAGTTATATTTCGTGGTTTCAGGGAATAGTTTGTTTCATTAATTAATAAACAAATTAAATATTGCAGGTACTATTTTATAATCAGGAATCACAAACAAATCTTCGCCGCGTATATTGCAAAATCTATTTGATCGATACGAACACGTGCTGTCATGTTGATTTAATATACAAGTATGTAATAATATTCTATCAGTGATTACCGTCGCCGTCGGATCTTTTTTGGTTAAGATATATTAAAAATATTAATAGAGTACATTATTTATGCCTTTATGCCAATAAAAAATATGCGATTCAAAGATTTTAAAATAAAATGTTTTAAAACATGTTGTTCATAAAACGCTTATATCTCGGCTATCGCGTAAATGATAGAAAGATGATTAAAGAAAGACTTTGTACTTTATACTTTGCCGTATTGGTATTACTCACGTATATATTACTCGCAATTATATACTTTCCTTTATTAAACCAATAAAGCGCGAGCTGGCCAAAAAAATTGTGCGCCTCGCCATTCATCATTTTCATTAAACGCTTTAGGTATATCTCGGCAACCGCAAACGATAGAAAGACGATTCAACAAGCACTCGTTAGTTTGAAATCTGCCCTATTAGACGTAGTCATTATTAATATACTGGAAATTTTACAGTTTCGATTACTAAGACGAGAAAGCGCGCAAGATCTTAACGAAATGTGTGCCGAGCGACTTTTTATTTTCATTAAACACTTGTCATATATCTCGGCAATCATAAGTGATAGAAAAACACTACAAAATCGTTTTAGCCTTTTTTCCTCGTTTTTAATGTTTTTTTTTTTAAGCTGATTTCATGAATAATTGTTTAGTATTTTTGTTGCAGCATTCGTGATAAAGGACAGGCACGTCGAGTTTCGCTTCGATATCGGCTCCGGAATGACGAAGATAAGATCACCTTATGCCGTCCAACCCGGTGTGTGGAGACATACGTAATGGTGAATCGAGATTTAAAGGATGCGAAATTGTCGGTGAACGGTGAGCCCTTTGTGGAAGGCAAATCACTTGGGGCTGCGAGAACCATGATGAACTAAAACACGCCTCTTTACATCGGAGTATAGATCACAGAAAAATCACGATCAATCGGGACGTCGGTGTCGATCGCAGCTTCCGTGGATGCATAAGCGAAGTAAGCTTATTAATTATACGAGACAGATAGCGATATACAAGATCCCGTAACTATAGCTCTTTAACTTAGCATTATTATTTAATGACAAATTTTTTATAAAATCTAGAAGCAGTTCTCCATTAGCATAAATAAAGAAGCCTCTTTCAGTTTTATATCCAATATTACATATATCGTTATTTTAATGAAGTCATAGAGAGTTAAACTGTGAAAACTTTAAAAGAAACCCTGGTAGAAAAATGTCTCAGAATTTTTTACATTATTAATCAGAATTTCTATGAAAATTTTAAGACTTTTTCAGAATTTTAAGATTTTCTCAGATTTTTTATACCAATTGAATCATTTTTCAGAAAAATTTAGACAAAATAATAATAAAATATTTCAGATGTTTCCTGCCAACACATCTTTGTAGAAATCTGAATAAATATAAGAAAATCCACTCAATTTATCAGAACTTTTCATGTATGATAATTAAAAACATATAATAATTAATAATTCCATCGCAAGAAAGAAGAAAAGGAACTCCATTTAATGAGCTAAGATATATACATATAAATGTACATATAGTCTATTGTTACATAATAATTCTTCAAAGAAAATGAAACAATAAATTATAATTTTGCTAACAAACAGTGTATTTCAACTTTTATTTATTGTATTACAATTATTAATAAAATTATATAATTTCCTCCATTCACGGTCCGTACTTATTCGTATCCTGCGCCGTGACATGTCATAAGTACGTTCCGAGCTCATGTGCACCAATGGGCCTGCTTAGCCTTATTCTCTATTAACATTTTTTGTCATATTTTGTAAAGGTTTATCTATGGTAATCTCATAAAGGAAATCAATCCGCCGCACATGATAAAAATTGGAATACATTATACGTAGAGTTTAAAAATGTAAAGATTTTTTGCATAAATACATTGTCATATTTATATTTAACAGACTGTTAAATCTACATATAATTTTCTGCAAAAATTAATTATGTTACGATCACGCCAATATTTGTTTTACTGCCCTAAAAAATAAACAAAATTTTATATTAGTGTCTAGTAGTATTTTATTATCATTACTATTAAATGTAAATTTTTTTTAGTAATGTTACATGCGACAAATTTTATATTCGTCCGTAACTAATAGATTCGACATATTTGCATTTTATTAATAACGAAATAAAATTTTATTATTCTAAAATATATTAGCCAAGAGTATTTTTTGTATTTCTTCAACAAAACCTTTGTATTACAAAGTAAAAATGTGTTGCAACGATTTTACAGATACGTGCACTCGTGTGAAAAAAAATTAAACAGTAAAATATAGCAGAAATATACTTGACAAACTAAGTAATAAAAGTCTGCGATTTTTTATTCTGTATTTTAAATTAAAATTTCCACTTAGTTTTGTAAGAATTTTTCTGCTATAATATTTTGATTTACGAATTTTAAAATATATCCTACATTAAAATTCAAATTAATATTTGTATTCTTTGTCTTACCCCGAATATTTACCAAGGCCCAGACATAGATTATCGTTATGCATTATGAAAAAAAAAAGGAATTAATGCCTATGATGATCAATATCTAGAAATGATTTGTCGTAATATCTTTTCAGGTAACGGCAATCTGCGATCATAAACCTGTAGAATATAAATAAAGATGTAATTATTTAATTTTATTTATTGTATGTGTGTAATCGCAGCTCTATTAAAGAAGTCTATTGAAGAACACTTGATGATTAGTAAGAGATTGTAAAATAAAGTTCAATTTACAATATATAAACTATACTTCATATTATATATAAATGTAATTCAGTTGCTTGAATTACGGAATTACACACATCTACATTGAATAAATAATTATACGTTAGTTCTTTTATTATTGTAGCTGCAAACGTGTGTGTGCATGCGTGTAATTACCTATATAATAATATCGTTAAAGGAACTGTACTGGCGTGCCACAAGGAATGAGCATCAAATATCCAAAAAATAGGAGGAAAGTCTGCCAACTCGAGCACAGTCACGAGAATAGTCAACATATTGAACCAAGCGACTAAGTATACGTAAGGCAACTTGGTACGGTTAAAATACCACCACAGCATCGTTATCGCGACAGTCGTTAATCCTGGAATCATAAACGGTTCAGCTTTGTTATACAGTTATCTTCCTGTAGGGATATGCGATTAATGCGATTATGGTGTAAAACTTACCTATCGTTACATTAAGCATCATATTATAACCATAATTAATTCTGCCTGACCATAAATGTGACAAATGTGTGCACAAAATGCTCACATATCCGCAAGTTATTATAACACAAGCTTTATTCCTTTTATTCGTTATCCTAACAAATAATTAACACGTACATAAAATTTAATATTACCTAAACAATAAAGATTTAACATTTATATACGTTACGTTAAGACTTGTTTCTTTTATCTTTGAATATATTCCAAAATTAATTTACTAACGATGTGTATTTACCAAATAAGTATATTATTATACATTTTTTTAAATATTAACACCTTAATCATATCCAGATAAGACGAAATTTATTGTGCGTTACCTTAAAAGCATACAGTACAAGAGTGTAAGTACCATACTAAACGCACAAGAATAATCCATAGCTTCTGTAAATGGCCAATCCCGCGAATGGAATACGGTTGACCAAAACCACCCATTTAGGCATATCTGCAATAAAGTTAAGCCTTTTAAGCAGATTACAAGTCAATAAGGTTGCCAAGTTTTAGACATTTGAGTAGACGTGGTATAGAGTAGACTGAACTTACAATACTGAAATACGTCCAAGCGTAGAACATAGGATTAGATCGATCAATCCTTGTTTTAAATTTTCGATACATTATCCAATGTGCATAAAAATTGAGTATGGAGAATAAAACCGAAGCAGGCTCCTGACATCCAAATAGGCGGATGAATGGCCACTGCGGGATGAATAAGAATAATTTATTATACATCATTATTTATAAAATGGATATTATCATAAGTGTCATAAGAATAAATGAAAACATTACATAGCCTTGATATACATATGCATAGAAACAAAGTTATGCTACATAAAAGTAATATATAGGTTTTATTGCGTTGTATAAAATTAAAATTTGCTTTTATAAAAACAAAATACGTATGCGCGGCGGTTTATCGCGATGGTACTAAGAAAAAATAATATTTTTGCTTCAAACATAGACGCATAGATATTTTTCCTCGTGTATAATTATATTATATATCTTTTCGTAAAAGGATATAGTTGCTATATTTTGCTTACTTTTCCATGAAACTGTGGTATCTTTAAACCATGAGATACGAAGTAATCAACGGTCCTCCATATGCAAATATAACTACAATCTTCCTCGCAAGACCAGCGTAACAAGATTAACGATAAGGAAGGTTCTTCCTTGAAATCTGTTTCTACAACACACACGTTGTTGAAAATTAAATTAAATTGAATTTTTGATAAAGAAATGTTTTTTTTACGAGCAAATAAGGTATAAAATAAAATCTGAAAGGGAGCTGTATATATGCTAGTGTGATTATATTACTTTAATCTTCATTAACATACATATATTAACCTTGCTTGAAATTGGGGAAAATATTTTTGATACTATAAATTATAATAAATCGATATGATTCTACGACACACAACTTGGGAATGAAAAATAAAGATTGTATATGTACATATGTATGTAGTTGAGTATACGCACACACGCACGCACACACACACAATAGGAGAGAAAAAGAGAGAGTGAGAGAGAGAGAGAGATTATATGTATGTACATACTCGATATATTAAACGCGCAATTTGATATATCTCGACTGATCACTATCGTAATGATAATTTGAGATAATCTAAGATAATCTGAATGAGAGCGAGACTGAAAGAGAATTAAGAGAGAATTTAAAAAAAAAAGAAGAAATAATTATATTCGAGAATTGATATTCAATTCAGTTTCACCCAGCTGCACATAGAGATGTTGGGTGTGAAAACCTAACTTGATGTGTTAAATTGAAATCTATTTAGAAACCTATTCCTATTAGCTTGGACCCTGTGTTTTGCTCTGTTGCACGATTCTAAAAAAGATTTTCAATTTACCACGTGAAGCTAGGTCCACCTCACAATCCCCACACCTCCATGTGCAGCGTGCAGCGTGCAGCAGGCAGCAGGGCGAAACAAGATCCTAATAAGTTAGTATGATTCTAAATAGTGTTTGACAATGTGCCGGGCTGCTTGTTAGCGAATTTTTATAAAAATGAAAAAAGACTAAAATTCTCAGTCAGATCTTAGTAAAACATTTCATTTTTAACCATGATTTGAGAATGTGGCCGCACTTTAATAAGATACCTAAACATTTTATAAAACGATTTTACAAACATTGCAGATTTCTTAATCTGGCTACGACATTAGCGCTTATTCCCTTATTACACTTGACATATATTACGTGTATCTTGTTCACATATTATATTATATATATTATATTATATTCTATGTATGTGCAATATGTACATACTGTAAACATTTCTCTCTCTTCACGCGTTTCAGCTACAATAAATATACTGTAAACTTCGGGCCTAGTTTCGCATCACTTTGAGGAAAAAGTGAAAAGAATTTAAATAATTGAAATGGGAAAAATCGCAGATCGATCATTACCATCTTTGCAGTTGCTAGTGCGACACAGCGCTAGACATTGCTTGTATACCTGCGACTTGTCACCTATCGAACCAAACGTATTTCCAACGAGACAAGCTTGAAGAATCATCAACAAAAGAGTCCAGGCCGACTTTGACATGTCGACTACTGTCAACTGTCAGCAACGTACCCTAGCTGTTGTTGACAGCGCGGTGTCAAGCGCGATGTCAAAACGTACAACAACCGGTCGGACCGGCGACTAGGCGACGGCCGAATGCCGAGTGAGCCGACTCAGCCGACGGCGACTGATCACACGTGACACTGTTGACAGTTGACACCAGTTGACACTGGTCAGGTCACTCAAGATCACTGATGAGAGTGACGGGCGACAGGGGCAGGGGGTCTCCGGGTCTGTTTACTCTGTTTCTTTTAGCTGCACTGGCTGAACTGGTGCAGTAAATAAAGTGAAACAAAATATACTTGTCTCACTCTAACCTATTGCACCAGTCAGGCAGTCAGCTGAGTGAGCTGAGTCAGCCCTCAGCCGTCAGCCGTCAGCGGTGGCAGTGGTAGGAGGTGGGGCACGGTGGCAGCGGTTCAGCCCAAGTTGCAGCCAGTGCAGCTAAAAGAAACAGACCCAGGGCCGGCCAGGGCCCAGGCCCAGGAAGCAGGAGGACCAAAGATTCAAGATCCAAGGAGAGCACAGATGTCTCGTGACTCTCGTGTCTCGTCACTCGGGCTCGGGAAGAACGGGGAACGAGGAACGAAGCGAGAGACGGAGATAACGGGGAAGGGAAGAGACACGCCATTCGCGGCCATTTAGAGACGAAAGATAAATATTATGCGCTCGCCGAACATTGTCTGATTGGCGTCATTGGCGAGGCGCGATAGGCGGATGCGGACGCGGACACGAGGATACAGTGATACACTGATACAGAAGGATACCTATACCTACGTCAGGGTCGTCAGGTAGACGGAAAAAGACAGAAGGAACGAGAGCGGTTAGCGGAGTGCGGATTGCGGACACTGCGGAGGACACCTGTTGCCGTCGAGTGAGCCGAGTCAGGCGATCGCGAATCGCGATCGCGATGGCCCACCTGCTCAAGAATCTCACCAACAGTATTTGGCATGCGTTTCACGCGTTACAGGCCGATGCCACCAACACGGTCGCCAAATCCAAGTTAAAGGTGAGACCCCTTTTTGAGAAACTCGTGCAATCGCCAAGAAAGCCCGTTCGGAATAGCCTCCCTCGAATCATCGAATCATCTAGCGTGGTCACATGTCACATCCTCGTACCTCGTTTTATATTTCTAATCAATAATACAATTAATATTGATTAATATTGACAGTTTTATATGACGTGCAAAGTCATATTAAAGTTCTCTCTTTCCTCTTCTTTTTTACATTTGTCCATATTGATATTTAATTTTCATAGGTCCTGACAGCCAACATTGGTACTATGATGGACTTGTACGGCGTGGAGAAAGGCCTGGAGCATTACCGGAGTACTCAGAGTTTAACGTTCGATCAGTACATCTATTACTTACAGAAAGAAGTAAGGTCTTCTTCTTTCGCGCAAGACGCTTGTGCCATGAGCGTTTGAATGAACGAAAAAGCAAATGTCAATTTTCTTAATTGTTGAGAGAAATAGTAGAATTTTTTATATACACGAATAAAACGTTTTCAAACGTTCAGGCACAACAAGCTCATTATTTACAAATTCTAGCAAATACTTGAACATTTGGAGATACTTGAATATGGAGATAAAGTAGAATACTTAATAAAAAAAAAAAAAAAAAAGAATATTCATAGATGTATAAAAGTTTTTACTTTACTTTCTTATTTTCAAAATGTCTGTTTTGTTAAGTATCTCTGAATATTTTCCCAAGTTTTCTCTCTCTCTACCCTCGGTCAAAAGCATTTGCTTTGCTCTTCCTGCGTCCACCTCGCTGTATTCAGTGTATTCTATAGCGAGAATTATTGCTTCAGGTGTTCTCCTCTGTAACCGACGCTACTTCTGTACAAACGTTGAAGAGCTTGGAAAACGGGATAGATGAGATTTGCTGGTTGGTTTGTAAAAAGATGTACCTGGAGAGATCCCATCCGGTCTTTGATGATCACAGCGTTTACCAGTTGTTCAGAATTTACTGTCTGCTGGCCGAGACAGAGTCAGATATGACAGATTCTTATCTGGTTAGCGGATGATTATAATAAAACAATTATATCCAAATGTCCTTTTTGTTTGCACGTCGATATATCCAACGTGTCGCTTTTGTGACGCAGGTAATAATGCATGGCGACGAGGTGGCGCGAATCGCTTCCCATCTAGTAATATCCTTAGGTCTGCAGTGGGATGCGGCAGATTTCTCAGCTCTATCAGCGGCTATCGGGATATTTAGGTAACTTGTCGTTTCTAGCTTGTCACAAAGATCAAGGAAATGTAAAAGACGCTATTTGTTTATGAAAAATTTCACGGAAAGGTTTTCCACGTTTCTGGCGGTTTTGGAATCCAAGTATAGTGGCGGTAATACTTTGGACACTATAGCGTTGACAGAGGCGATCGATGATCTCCACCAGATTTACGTAGAGAATGTAGTGAAAAAGGTAAATCAAAGTTTTGCTTAATTTTGCTAATAAATTGAAAAAAAAAAATAAAAAAATAAAAAAATGTGATTTCGACTGTCCAATTCAGACTCTCTCTCTCTCTCTCTCTCTCTCTCTTTCCGTAGTAGTGTGCTACGACACACCACTACGTTGCGATCTTACGTTTATATACAGATATATATTGTATAGTTTTAAGAGGTGCCATAGCGCACATTACACGCGTTACATAATAACAATACGTCTTTTTTTTTACAATTATACCATTATTGCAGGGCTACTTGATGAAAAAGGGCTTCCTGCTGCCAACGTTGCGGTACTTCTGGTTTGTGCTGCGTCCTGGTGAATTGACGTATTATAAAGATCCCCAACAGAAAGAACCGTCCGGATTAATACTGCTGAATGCAAATTGCTGGGCCGATACGCTGACAAACGGTGGAAAGCCCGATAGAAGATTCGTGCTGAGCACCCCCGAACATAGATGCATCGAGCTAGTGGCAGAGGATCACAAAGGCAGACTGCAGTGGCTCGCGGCATTGCAAACGGCCATTCAGCATTCGGGCGAGAAGATCGGCTATCAGAGAAGTTTGGCCAATCAAAGAAGATCCTTGCGACAAGTAAATTGAAACAAATAAATTGAAACAGAAAAATATATATGTTTTAATTAGAACAGATAACAATTTTACTTGGAATTTATTTCACAACGTATTGCTGCTTGCTAGGCTACTAAACAGGAAAAAGAAGAGACCAAGCTGGAACTACAGCACGAGAGGCAGGCTAGAATCGCCGCCGAGATCCAAGCTCGGAAATTGGAAACTCTGTCAAAGGAGGAAGGTGCCAAGGTTCAACAACTAGAAGATGTTAAACAGAAGCTAGAATTACTGCTACAAGAAGAAAAGCAGGCCCTACGCGACGAGGAAATAGGTAAGATTAATGTGTCTACCGTATTTAATTTTTATCACACCATGTTCTTGTAAGATTGTAGTATAATTTAGATACGCGCTATGTACGCATTTACAGTACGAAATTTACAAGCGAGAGTACTACGCGAAGAATGGGAAAAGAGAGAACAATTGGAGAGATTGCAGCAGGAGCAACAAGAATTGCTGGAGATGGAGAAGATGAAAAGAATGGAATTTGAGCGGATGCAAAAAAAAAACGAGCAACAGTTGCAAGGTATATAAAATCCAGAAGATAAAAAAATTAAACATTAAATTGTTAATCATATTAATAAACGCAATCACGTAATAAAATTTGCATACACATGTACCGGGCGCATGTGTGTTTCTTTCTTTTAGCTTTCTTAGATTCTTTCTTATAATGTTTAACTGTTATCTTTATTTGAAAATTTCTACTTTTGCATTATTCTTCTACATTAATTTTTAGATGCCGAACTGCGACTCCAGCAGCTAGAAGCGGAGAGGGAGCAATTGGATGCCGAGTTGCGCGCTGCGCGCGAAAAGGTGCAGCACGCCGAAGAGGCTCAACTTCTACTAGAAGCACAAATCGTCACGCGTCCCCTGAGAGGAGGTGAGAGGATCCGACGTACTCAGAGCTTTATACCCACAACGAAAGAGCGGCCGTTGTCCGTAGAGAAAATCGACAGCAGACCTAAGACATTGCAGAAAAATATATGACATACGCTGCGCACCAACGACAGCTAAAAGATCGATGCGTTTATCGCCCGACTTGCATTTAAGTCTTCCACCAAATAGAATAGCACAAAGAGCCTATAGAATCTATTGTACGTTGCGGGGCAACTATATTATATCTTCGCGACGAAAAAATTCCATGCGAGCTTCGAATTCGATAGTTCCTTGATTCTTGATGCCTTGCTTCATTCGCAATCTTAGCCAAAAAGTATTTAGTATTGCATGTACAAATTTTGTATACGTGAATTTCCATTCCTTATTATCGCGAAAATAATGTGATCTTTATCTTGTAAACGACAAGATATAATTTCCACCTAACGTATGTATATAAATATCACATATAAATATATACATTTTTTCTCACGGAGCGTATTATCATAGAGTAGGAAAATATTTAACGCGAATTTATAATTAATCATGTTAATCAGAATTGTAAAATGTGCCCAACAAACAGATGGGGAAATATTTTTGTAAAATTTTATAACATTGACCAAGTTTTCATACATGAATAAAAATTTCGTAATATTTTATTCGAGTCGAATTGAATTTTATTGAAATCAGATGCAATTTTTATAATGTTTCAAACACTATATACGTTTACGCGAGCGTTACTACAAAACCCCGTTTACGCGGAGGAATTATCATAAGTTACTACAGAAGTAACGCTCGCGTAAACGTAGTATATATAGGTATATGTCTGTTATACCAAGTTGATTTCTGTTATTGATTAAACACACGCGCTCCATATGGTCAGTTTTACGTTTTACCCTTGCTATCCCTATATTCCTAATAGGAAAACTTGTAACTTGTTAAGAACAAATTTGCAACGGTATAAAATTGTTTATTCGCCGAGAAATGCCGAAGAAGAAAGGAAAGGGAAGCAAATTGGCTCGCATGAGCGACGAGGAACGCGCTCGCTATCTACAGCACCGTGCCGAATTGGAACTAGAGGCTAAACGACGTAAGCAACAGTTGATTGCAACTTTTACTAAGGTAACTTTTACTATCCGACACAAAATACAAGTATATAATGTAATACAATTTTGTAACAAATCAATTTTGAAATGTAGAACAAGCTGAAACACGAGGAAGCGTTTTCACGATTAAACACTGCCAAGATCAATGAACAATGGCGATACATTCTACGACAAATAAAATGTAAAGAACTTGACGAAGATGTGGAATATCTTTGGAATAATTTCGATCGCCTGTTGAAGGCGAAAGATCTCGTGATACAGCGTTTACATAGTGAGCTAGAAGCAGCCGATATGGATCACAGAAGACTGCAAGAGGCCCACATTCAAATGATGGACCTGACTATTGGTAGCACATGCCTTTGTAAATCTACAGTATCTATACTATCGCACAACTATTAATTATATTATATTAATGTAACATAGGAAGATACAAGCAGAAATGCATCCACCTGCACGAGTCCTTCGCACGCGAACGTACCCGTATCGTTTCGAACGAGATAAATGAGTTAAATAGAGTACGGAAACATTTACAAGAGCACTGCCATCAGTTGCAGAACATAATTTTTGGCCAAGATAAGAAGATGGAAAATGTATTGACGCAAACGAAAATCCAGAATGCCGTTAATATATATAGCATCGTATACTTGGTATGGATATGTTTCTCATCTTTGTGTTTTATATATGAAATAAATGTTAGTAATTCTTTGGTGATCAAAAATCTTTCAGAAGGAAGACTCCTTGTCGCGCTTGATGCATTACGTTTCCAATGAGGTCGAGGAATTGTGGCGACAACTTAACGAAACGATAATCGAATACGAGAAAAATACAGGAGATAAAAGAAAGCAGTACGACTACTTGATGGAACAGGATGACGCTCATCGTGTCGACGTGGCGCAATATCCAAAGTTGCAAACACAATTACAAACCACGATTAAAAGTCTGAAGCAGGACACGCACGCATTATCACAGAAAAGGGAGCAGAGTATAATGGAATTGAACGATCGGATTGTATACATGAGGAAGAGAGCTCAAAGTTTCAGACAGATATTTTTCATGAATCAAGCGCTCGACACTACTCAGCTGAAAAAACTAACTATTATTAGCGCTAGCGTTCTAAAAGTAAAAATATTAAGTTATCAATCTTTTGCCTGACTTGACTGATAATATTTAAAACAGTATTAAGTCAAGTTTGAATTTCCGGGGGGAGGGGGAAAAAAAGTATTTTGGATATTCTTTGATTTGCAGGAACTGCAGAGGATTTCAGAAAAAGGCTCGACGTTACTGTCATTGCTGACAATATGTTCAAATTTGGAACCGTTCTCGCTGACCGTTCAAAAATACACTTTACGCGATACGGGTTCCAGAAGGGCTTTCACGAGTTGCGTAGGTATATGTATCAAATACGAAACATGTATCTTCAGTATTTAAATAAGACTTATTACAGATGTCAGAACCGTTTGACAAATTGGACAAATTTTGGGAACAGTTTAACTACATTAAATCCGACAATATCCTCATGAAAAAGGAGTGTGACAAACTGTCTTTCGAGAACAAACAATTGAGAAACACCCTGCGCACATATCTGTTAACTATTTCTAGAGTTCCGGCCGCACGATCACTTACGTCTATTCCTGTATAAATATATCTACTTCAAATGCCGATAAGAGAAAAAAAAAAAGAGAAAAGTCAACAAATAAAGCCTCTCAAATTAAAAATAATGTAATTGAAAATATCTATGCATATCAGATTAAAAAGTTTGATATCTTTTAAAATCAAAACTAAATTTAATATCTTCGAGAGTTAAAAATATTAGGATATTTTAGGAAACGGTACCTACTTATATCTCACGTTTTTTTTATCCACAAGTATTTATGGATAAGAACTTACAGAGAATCGACAAGAAAAGAACATGCGTTGGATCACATTCACATAATTTATTCAACGATGAGTGAATATGCCTCCTCCCAACGACAAATATTTGTATGGTCGAGCGCGAGTCCGTCCTCTCACAGGATAGAAGAATATCTTTTCCTTCGGCGCCATACTCTCAGTCTCCAGATAGATGTCGAAGCATGCTCTCAGCCGTTGTATTTGCGCCGTCAACGTCGGGGACTTGATCCACATCACGTTGACTTCCCTCTCGATGTCTCTGATTATATCGGCAGACGCTGGCACCGTTGGACTAACGCTTATGCTAAATACCGGTGCTATCTTTGGGTAATCTGGTTTGATAGCGATCCTGGCCACGAGTTCGCCTAAGAAATGTATCAAATATAAACGTGTGTGGAAGGAAGGAATCACTTATCTAAAGTTAGAGACACGTTGATATATAATAATCGTACTACTGCCACGACGAAGTACAGCCTCGTAAAAGATGTCTACGGACAACACTAATCCCCGCTGATAAAATTCTGGTGAAGCGACGTAATTCGAGTAACTTTTCCAGGTCATGGTCGTAAATCGATGCAACGACGTTGAGATTTTCTGCGGCACGGGATCAGTCGTACTAATAAAGATTGGCAAGTTGCCAGATTCTAGTTGTCGTATTTCCATACATAGGTCCAGCCTCGCTTTTATACGTCGTTTAATTTCCTTTAACACACTCTCCACACAATCTTGTGCCAATTCTTGACTCGTAAGCTACAAATAAAAATGATGAAGCGGTGAATTTCAATTAGAATACGTTGCTCCAGTCGCATCTATTGATGGTTGAGATTTGCTCAAATCGTCATAATTTTGTTAGTTGCCAAAAATGGAGCCACTACAACTTCTTTCAATAAGTGAAATTAGTCATCATCAACTGTTTTTCACACTTATGTTACAAGTCTGTGTATATACCTTTTGTTGTTGTTCGCTCACGTCGCACGCGACAAAATGTAGGCCGGCCATCTTTTGTGCCCATTTGTAGGGAACGCCTAGTCCCAAAGACGAAAACGATCCCAAGTTATGTCGCGACAGTTGATACTGATTGGCGGGATTCGGACTTTCCAATCCTAAATCTCGTGGGTACAATTCGCGAAGAACCGATTCGGATACCAGCATGTCTCTATTAATTAAATACGACTTGAAAAAGTTATCTCAAATTTGCCGAGCCAAAGAAAGCAAGAGAAAACTATTTGTATATATACAATTTTTAAAAATTGACATTAAGTCAACAAGAGTTATATGTATAAATGTTGAAGCACGTTTACATACCCAGCACTAATACCTCCCAAATCTTCTGTTTCGAGTTTCGATTCTACCGTAACAACTTTCAAATGTATCATGTAATAAAAGTGAAGCGTCAGCCTTGTTTCACCTGAAAAGTTTAATTTCGCAACAAAATTCTCTCTCTCTCTCTCTCTCTCTCTCTCTCTCTCAAGATTTAAAAAAAAATTAAATCATAAATTTAATTAGTACCTACATTAATAAACATAAAATGATGAGTTTATTCTTTAATTTTATTGCATCTTTCACTTTAATTTGGATATTTTTTAAACACGTCGTTTCTCATAAGACCATAGATTTTTTATCCAAAACTCACTTTTTAGTGTAATAACTATTTTTACGCGCAACGGATGTCGCTGCAATAGTTTGGACCGTTTCTCTTCTTGCCTAGCTTCTCGGGATAATCTGTGATGTCTTTTCTTATGCACGGGCATTTCTTCCACGATACTTTCCGATTGATTTTCAGTATCCGAGTCAGACTCTTGTAAACCGTCATGATTGTTTGCGCGTCTCGCTTCGTCTTCGTCACCTTCCACTCTGACCAGCAATGTACTATCTACAAGATATTTTCAAAAATAACAGCTATAAGAAATTTTATCTCATAAAACCGTCACAGAAATATACAACGTTTATGAATTATATACCATAAGCATCCCTGTAAGCAGATGCCTTCGCATACAATACATAGAGCGGTGATGCAAGCAATGAAGCCTTTTGATGCTCCTGGCGAATTTTGTCCAACGGCAATCCAAGACTTTCTTGTAACGGTTTGCTCGCCTGAGAATATGAAAATTAAGTTTGCCACGTGTATAAGAACATTAATAAGGTCATAAAACATTTTGTATATTTTCTCACTTCCAATATAGAACGCAATTGTGGCGCGAGATTATCCAAACGAGTCTGTTTCGTTTCAATACTGGACGCTACTGCCTTTTTACTCTCTGTCAATTCATCGCACAATGCCGCCAGTTGCTTTCGTTGCGTCAGTTCCCATTCCAAACGAGCCAGTCTCAATTGATGAAGATTATTCTTTGTTATTTCCTAAAACATGTTTCCGTTTTGTATGTGGGTAGGTGTGTTGCCCCAAAAAAAAAAAAAATAGAATTTTATACTCAAGTTATTACCGTATAACTTTCGTATACGTACAGGTCGTGAGATACTTTCTGGAGCTTCTTTATAAAATTCCTCTTCTGAAACAAGTTCTATCAATTCATCTTTGGATCTAGAACAAATGAAGCAAAATTATTTTATTTTGTTTAAAAAGATAACGTTAAAAAGAGAAGAATCTAAAGATTCTTTTGTATAAAGATGAAAAAATTTACTTGAATTGAAGACATTTAATAACTTCCTTCTTCAAATGCATTACTTCGTACAATAAATTCTGTAAATGCAGGTGTCTGCTATCAACGCTACTCTTGGCAGCCACTAGAGAGTCGCGTGCTGATTTTGTACGGAACTTTTCCATGCGATTTAGTTTCTTTAGTTCTATAAAAGCCAGGGACGTTTGAATTTGCAGCTCGCGGATCTCATCTTTCATCTAAAGCATTTGTTTCAATAATAAGTTTAAAGCAACTTGGCATAATAAAGTAATAATAATAACAACTAATAATAGTAATAAGAAGAAGAATAATAAATATCTGTTACGAACGTTTGAGTCACCACTGGATTTCAATTTAGCTATTTTCGTCATCGCTGCTCGAATATCGTCGCAGGTTAGCAAAAAGGATTCGGAATCATCCTCGGACAATCTCTCGATAGCTTCCTTCTCTTCGTAACTGATTATTGTCTGATTGTGAGACGAGACAAAAGTTGACAGCGGCAGAAACAGAAAAAAATAATTCCTTGTTTTAGTTTTACTTGAAGCAAGCAGCAAGAAGTAAATATATAATATATTTAGTAATTTAGTTTAATTTCACTAATAATTTAACCTAACTTAACCTAAGATGTTGACAAGGATATACACGGTCAGCAAAAAATGTTTTATTTTTTTGTGCAAGAAATCATCGTTCGGCATTGCGAAAAAAAGGTAATTAAAAGAGAGACACTTCTTCTTTAAGTCTATTTTCGTCATAAATCTAAATATTTCCCGTAATTAAAAAAATTTTTTTTCGTTTTCGTACCTTATACATATCTCCGTCTTTCATCGACGCTGTTCCACTGCTCGCATTTACAGACTTTCTTCTTTTTTTCGCACTATCCGATTCGTTCTCCTTACCCATATTTTATGTTTATGTCAATATATATCAATAATATATATATTTTTTTAGATAAAAATCAACTCGTATCTCGTATCTCTCGTGTTCCTCGTGTTCGATTAGCGACTTATAAGCGACAGGACACCGGGTCTGTTCGCGTTGCTTGCACTTTTTGCACTCAGCATCTTCGCTTTCTCTCTCTCCAACAGCCGAATATTATATTTATCTCATTTCAAGTGCAAAAATGTTTGGTGATTTCAAGCAACGCGAACAAGCCTACTGGCGACAGTAGCGACGCGTCACGAAGTGATGTAAAATGTAAAATGTAACCAATGTCACGAATTGAGGTTATTAATTGTTATTATTCATTATTCTGCACTGTCCGCAGTCCGCATTGTCCGCAAAGACCGCAACTATCATATTACGTGCAAAAGAAATATTCCTTTTGAGAAGCAAGAATATACTACAAATATATTATTGACCGATAAAATATTCGATATATATTTTGTCACTGATACATGTAAGTATTGTGTACATATATGACAATAAAAACCCCCTAAAGACCGTCAAGGTGTCAAAACAGTCAAAAGTCAAAGACCAAAAAACGGTCATCGCCTTGCGACAACGCCTTTAATTATCGTTTTCATGTTTAGGTACATTCCAGTACATTTCCTCAAGCAGATCTCAGATCGAACAAGTCTTGACAAGTCTCTGCAACAAATATTTATCCTACGCAGCTCCACTGCTCCAATCTCGAGCGTGTTATCTGGTCGAGTAAATCGCGCTTGGCTGTTCTCTCCTTTCATCTAATCATCTAATCGTCTAATGGGTAAGCCGAGAGACGTGAGAGAGGGTACGGAAGAAGAAATGAACTTGGGTAATTCTGTATCCAATTTTATTTGTATTTACATCAATTTCGTACGCGTCAATATTACAATGTGCACGTTAATGATATACTTTGAGATTCTTAGTTTAAATCGATTGAATTGAATTTTGTTAGATACAAGCGATGTCTCGCCGCAGAAAAGACATAAGAAACACAAACATAAAAAGCACAAGAAGAAAAAGCTCATGCATGACGATAGCGACGCCTTTGTAGAAATTTCAACCGACGCTGACCGGAAGAAAAGTTTTAGAATAAAAATGAAGAAGGAAGATGAACGAAGGTATGCGTATTGTGTGACGTTTCTCTATCTCTGACCTTTTTGTAAATTATCGAACGTATTCAGCTCTTCAGCAACGTTCTGTTTAATAGCGTTTCAATTTCAAGTTTAGTTAGCCAAAAAACGTGTGTCGCCCCAAATTTGGCAAAATAATGGCCTTTATCGACATCTTTGGTTTAAAAGAAAAGAAAGAGTTTTCTCTCTTTAATAATCTGCCCGTGCCGTAACAATATATATCGCGTTTAGTTTTGAGAATATACATATATCTCTATAGATCTTATACATGTATGTCGGATATATGCAGGATGACTGTACAGTAGTGATCGGGTAACGAGGGGATAACTATATACCATTTTCTAGTTTGGATAAACGTGAAAAGGTATTGAAGACGTGCGGCGGCAGCGGCGGCGGCGGCGGCGGCGGCGGCGGCTTGAACGCAACTGCAATAAGCACCGCACCGTCTCCAAAAGCAACTACAAAGAAGAAAATTCCGAAAGGTAATAAAGGCAAAGATAGTGGAACCAGCAGCGAGGAAGAAAGATGGCTCGACGCTATCGAATCTGGTAAACTGGAAGAGGTAGTTTTCCCCCAAGTATTATTTCCATATCTCTGCACTTGCCCATGCTCGATGTTATATCATCTCTCTCTAATAAGAAATAATTAAATAAATAAAGACATGCGTTTTATTTTAGGTTGATGACGAATTGAAAAAAATTAAGCCAAAGGATCCCAAGCTAATGACAGCGCGACAGAGAGCAATGTTCGAAAGGAAAACTGATACGGAGCCGAATCCAGGTGTCGAACAACTCATGTCGTTACCTACCGGTTACAAAGAAAAAGTCATGACTGCGGAAGCTATACAGAAGGCTGCTCTAAAGTCTCTGAAACGGAAACAGCTCGCTGATGAAAAGAGAGAAAAGGATAAGGTTTGTATATACTATATGTGTGTGTGGAAAGAAAGTTTTATAGATAAAGATGACGAACAGCAATCTGTTTTGCTATTGACAACGTGTATAGAATTGAAACCTTTTTGACGTGCTTTTATAGAAAAAGACAATGGAAAGGTTGCTTAAGAAACAAGAATCTAAAGCGTCCAATTTTCTGCACAAGGGAAGATTATCTAGACGACAAGTACCGTTGGTGACGTATCGTTTAACGATCGAAGGAAGTTCTATATCTCTACCACCCGGTGAAACGTTTCCACTTTCTCCTGCCAAAGAGTACGACAAAATTATTATTTACCATTATTTTCTGTAATAACGTTTGAGCCGCGACATTTCTGTATTTCTGTATTTCTGATTCTATATTTTAGGAAAAGTCCGCCAAAACAAATACTTTGCGGGGTAAATCAATGTAAAAATCCCAAAAAATATTCGTGTTCAAAAACTGGAATACCATTGTGCAGTTTAAAATGTTACAAAGCCAATCTTCTTGTAACCAGGTAAATAATGTGCAAACGACACTAGATTTTTTTTTCCAAAATTCTAAAAGCTTGTTTTAATATTTGTATACATAACTTGTGCGCGCGAACACAAACACACACATATGTATAATATATATTGTATTGTGTATATATGTATAATTGTATACACATATATATTTGCTCCACGCACATGTTAATATAGATAACGAAAAAGAATTTATTATAAATAAAGATTTGCGAAATTTTTTTATTTTTATATCTGTGCCTGTTACCTGCTGTTACCTCTTATCTCGCGTTATATTATATATATGTATATAATACTCTTGTGACACATAAACATTTTTTTTTTAATCTTTGGCCTTGAAATTTTAGAAATGGACTCTTGTTTGACAATATAGCACGAATATCTTCCGATAGCTGTCAATTTCTGTGAATTAAAATTTTTGCCTCTTAAAACCGATATCGGTATAATCATACGGCGATGTCAATAATTACCGACTGTCAAATAACTTATCGACTGTCGGAATTAAAAAAAAAAAAACAGAAAAAATTAAATTTTCAAGGATATTATATTTATGATGAAAAGAACATATGTATAGATGCAAACAAACATTGGCCACTCTGCTCCGAATCCTGAATTTCAAGCTTTTTTGCTTTTACTGCGCGAGGTCTTCCAAATCAATTCGGTTCGGAAATGTTCAGGATCTGATGATCTGATCCGAGGCATTCCGAGGTGAGACGAGGTGATCCGAGGTTGAGAGTTGTGTCCTGAGTGCATAACGCACGTTTGTATGTACATATTTATGTACGAGAGAGTTAAGTTTTCATTAAAGTTGAGCTTATTTGTGATTACTTACTTGTGTGACAGGATGGCTGAGGAAAATAATGTGCTTTTTATAAGGGGAAATGGAAATGTACGTAAGAGATATTATTTTTACGAGCATTCGCGATTAACCTATTTTAATTTCTGCGTTTTGCGTTTATTCTCATTTATTTTCATTTTGAGTATATGAATTTTTGTTTAAATTTAAATGCCAAAAATAAAATATGAAAATAAAATTGAAAAATATCCAGAGATGAAAAGAGGCTCTGATTTTATAAGAACATATGACCATGACCATGAACATGGAATAGAAATGTCAACTTAATTGACAAATTCTTACAGTTATATGTGTTATGTGTTATGTAGAACCAAGATGTAGAATTATTATTATATTATACACGAACTGAGTTTAAGAGTTTAATAAGAACTTAGATATATAAGAAAATAATAAACAAAAATTATGCAAGTATTAACAACTTAAGCAGAAAAGTGAGAACGAAGACGTTTGGGATGATACTGCGTTGATACAAGCATACGATAGAGCTGTAAATTTGGCCAAGGAGGAAGTAGCAAAACGTATTGCCATGGATACTCAGGACCGGCAGACAAAGCAAAAGTTACAGAATTCCAAATACTCCAATCACACAAAAACACACAAGGTACGTATGATAATACTTATATTTTATCAAAGACAAAATTATTGCTTTCTGCTGCTCTATTGTAGAAATGGACCGTTGGTGCTCCATGCCGTGCTGTATACTCTGTAGATGGACGAGTATACGAAGCCATTATATCAAAAATTCATCAAAATTCTGGCATGTGTACGGTGAAATTTGTTGGTAATTATTTTATATCAATATAATATTATTCCACAATGTTCTTGTGTGCCATAATTACAATATTAAATAACATTTAGTTAAGGATCCATTAATCGGTGTCATACGTATATTACACTAATACTAACGATCACTAAGATGAATTAGATTATACAAAAATTTATATGTATATATATAATAATTAGCAAGTTAATTAAATTAATATATAATGTTCAGTGAGATAATTTTTATAACAACAATAATTTATATTATTCGCAGGATATCAGAATACAGAAAAGGTAGAGATAAATTCTCTTCTGGAATCTGAAGGATTGCAAAGTCAAATTGCCCAGCATAAGGATGCGTTAACGCAAAAGGCTAATGACGAAGTCGATTCCGACACATCCACCTATTCCAATCTGCAAAATTCCAAACAAAGGAATGGCGAAAGAATGGATTGCGATACGGAGGATCCTAGGTCATTTAAAAATAATTTTATGCCTGGACTTGAATATTTTAATCCAGCGATAGACGCAATGCCACCTGCACCACCCTTACCACCATTAATGGCTAAGTAAGAGATAATAACTTATTGTTAGAGATATAAGCAACAATTCTGTTTGTCATAAACTATGATTGATTTCCATTTATAGGTTGCCCGAAACTGATGCAGATGCATTGTCTAGTATGTTGATGTCGTGGTATCTAAGTGGATTCCACACAGGTAATTTTTAGAATACATCAAGTATTAATCTCTCATTTTCCATAATTTAATATACCTTGATATCTTTTATGAGAAGAAAATCACCTTACTAAGGATTATTTTTAATTTTATTTTTAAGTAACGTTTATTTTAATTCAATTTTAATTAAGAGAGAGTGTGTGTGTGGGTTTAGCATTAAAAATTGATTAATATCAAGTTGCAATAGCAAAAATAAAATAGAGATATGTTTGATCAAATATCAATTATAAAAGAACAACTTTAAAACCGTTTTAACAATATATATATATATATACACACACACACACACACACACATTCTTGTATCATTTATATTTCCAAACATTAAGTCTATTAGTATAATATTTTATCATACAAATTTTTTTATGTAGGTTATTATCATGGGTTAAAGCAGGCTAAAATTAATCAGCAGAAGAAAAGAAACTGTCAATAGTCTGGGTGAAAATGATTATTTTTTCACAAAATATAATTTTTACATTTTAATTTACGCATTGTGTTAATAAACAAATTTGAAATCAATAAAATCTCTTATTGTTAGATTTATATTGCAGATACTGATATCTACTTCGGATGATGAAAAACTAACAAAACATTCGCGAAGTAAACACACACACACACGTGTGTGTTTTCATCCCATTTGTTAAATTTCTATTAATTTCTTTATACGTTTTTTAATAATAAATTTCAAATATATATGTATATTTAATTTATTAATTCAAGAATATAATATTTATAATTCCATTAAAATTAGTGTTAAAATGTTTAAACAAATTAACATATATTTTACAAATGTATTTTAAATGTAGTGTAAGAAATATCACTATTTCGCAGAAATCCTATAATGTATCATCTCATAGATATACCATATTTGTTTCTTGTCATGATTGCGTATGCGGAGAGAAAAATGTTAAGCTACCCTATTATTATTATTTTTTTAAATTTCTTTTGCGAAACCAAATTCTTTATGCCATCCCATATATTGCGCGGTCATATGTTTGGCGATGGGTTTTACCCTGGATTTAGCAAGCGCAATGTGACTAATTGAACTGATCAGACCATCATTTTGAATATCATCGACGGAGATTGCTTTTGCTTCGAGACTCGCCCAAATGGGCCGCAACTGATTGATCCATGCTTCCTTGCACAGCAATTTTAAATCTGCGCAAGAATATCCCGCGGTTTCTTGCGCAAGTTTGAGCATCTCCGGCGAGTTGTACAGATCATCGCGCACGTAAGACTGCAATATTTTCAGTCGACTAGCTTCGTCAGGTAGATCGACAAAAATCCGTTTTTCTAAACGTCGCAACAAGGCAACGTCTATGTTCCTAAAAAAAAAATAAAAAATATGTAGAAGTTAGTCATGAGAATTTAGAAAAATTAACTACAATATATGGAATCCTGTGCTTGTGAAATTTGAATAAGTAACATATTCAACATTGTGAATCGCTTAATTATATATAAGCCAGAAATATAGAATGAGTATGCGATTGAGGTAAACAATTTTTAAATGTAAAAGAGCAAAGGTAACGAATTACAAAAGATGCAAAGTATGCAAAATTAATGCAAAATTGTCTTCTTGAAAAATAATTTTGCATCTACCTGTATACTTTGCTTACCATGGAACGTTTGTAGCTGCTAACAATACTACATTCGTATATTCCATTGACAATAAACCGTCCAATCTGGCGAGAAGTTCCGCTCGAAATCTTCTGGCAGGTTCTGAACTCGACGAGGCATGATCTACGTTTTTCGTGGTCGTCCAATCAATTTCATCGATAAAGATTATCGTTGGTGCATAATGTTTAGCAAGATCAGTGAGCACCTAAATTCATCAAAGATTCTTGGTTCGATTTTGTTTGTGTTTAAATGTGTTTAAACTTGCTAATATATAATATACACACACACACATTAGATAATAATAACAGATGAAATTATTATTTCATGTGTGTGAAAACTTTTATCGGGAGTAAAAGATGTAATGGATACGGCAGATATAATTTTGATTATAAAAGAAATATAATAAGACTTTAATTAGATTATTTATTAATTTCACGATCTTGCCTTCATTTTTTTTTCAGTTTTGCCTCAATTTTTTTTCTTTAAATTTTAAGTGGATATCCATCATAGAATAGTGTTCATTAGATATTTAGAATTCCGTCATTCATTGTGGAGATAGATATCTGGAGAAAAGTCGTAGGGCGGTATTCATAGTTCGCGATCTTATATCACAAACAAACAAACAATTTGAATTCTCTTCTTATGAAGAGACATTTTGAATATAAGAACGGACTCTATGAACACCGGCCTTAGACATGTGTTATGTTCGACTTACGCGAATATATTTTTCTGAATCGCCTCTCCATTTGCTGATAACCGAGCTGGAAGTGATGTTAAAAAAGGTCGATTGACATTCGGTAGCGACTGCTTTCGCGAGCATCGTCTTACCTGTTCGAGGGTGAGTGTCTTGGTCAATTTACGTCTCAATTTAGTAGACGATAAATAATTTCGCGATTACGTACCAGTTCCCGGTGGACCGTATAATAATACGCCTTTGCAAGAACCGAGTTTCCCACTAAACAAGCTTGGATATTTCATTGGATAAAGTATAGCTTCTTTCAACAACATCTTGCAATCCTTCAGTCCTTTTACGTCGTCCCAATGAACATTCAAGTTTTGTTGCACTATTTCCTACATATTACTATATATGTTTATAATTTTATATCTCGCTATATCGTTATGTCGCGCTATATAGTAGTATTACATACTATATATGGACGATAAAATATTATAAATTACTTGATGAAATCGACTTTTCTTTTAATGATTTATACGGAACTCTGTGTTAGCTTACATTAGTGTAATTGTAATGGAAAGCTTGTATTTAATTAGAGGGAGGATATTATAAAATATAAATGTAATAACAAAGAATAATTTCTGATCAAATCACAATTATACATATCGCATTTTCTCGTTTCTTACCCGTGATATAATATCTGCGATTTCTTTTAGTTCAGATGAGCCGAGTGGATAGAGATTATCGATAGGTTTCAGTAATCTTTCGTTAAAAGTTTCGTTGGTGAAAGTTTCGTCGAACCGTGGCACTTGGACAGTGACTCGATCGCCATTTTCCGCGGGAAAGATCGGCGTCACCGTGATATCGAGATTCAACTCGTCCCACGTGGAAGAGGCATGTTTCTGTGCAGCTTTATTTCTGCCGATATTGTTACCGTCCTCAGTAACGCGACTATCCTCTTGCTTCGAATAGACCTTCGATACTCTCTCTTTCTTGTTGCCGCTACAAAAGATAAAGTGGCTGTGATTTTTATACGAGCTTATCGAAGCTATATTACGCGCAAGGAACGTGGCGTCTCGCGAAACAGAATAGGCAAATACAGTCGCGTAAGTGATTAAAAATTGATCCGCATAAATTTTTATATTTATCGTTATATGTATATTTAAAAATATGACTCGTAATAAAAGACTATATAGATACATTTTGTTTTATTGCAGTCCTTTTGAGGAGCAGCTTATATCCTTTTAAATACAAATGTAGATTTTTGTAGACTTATATACATATTTCTCTGTATATTTAATCACGTCAAAGCTATTGTGCCACATTTGGATTTCCTGTATCTTATACACAACTGTATCGGTTCTCATTTGTGTATTGCTTCTGGATAACAAATTATATTTTCCTTACGTATTTTGAGCTACGTTCCCAACTTCCGTCTTCTTACACAGCTTGGGATATCTGTTGTACTTGACGTAATGGTACGCGGTGTACTCGAGAACGATAGTTTCCAAATCGATATTGTCGCACACGTGAATGTCTCGGGAGAGTTGAGCCTCCTTGAAGAGACTCTCCGTGGTATTGGAATAACTACGAGAAACATGAAACATCGATACACGGCGCACATAATTCCCATTTCACAATCACTTAATTGTGAAATGCTCGTGGGTTGAAATTTATATAGCAATACTCTTTAAATTAAATTAATCAATTAACCAGTAATCGATCATTACTGGTCGCGTTTCGATTCGACGTGAACACGCACGGGACGTTTCAACTTTTTATATAAATTGAATTACACATCGTTTCCATTCGTATATATATACTTTTGTATCGCGTTCTTTTCATATTTATTTTTCGTACAGTAACTGATTGTGAGTAACATAAAGTTTTAACACACGTCCTAATGTTATTTAGTCGATACTTGAAAAAGTTTTCGATATAACGTGTGTGTGTGTGTGTATGTGTGGGATGTTTTCTTTCACTATAGCTATAAATATGAACAACTGCTCACCCTTGCTCCCGTAAAAAGGCAGCGATAAGGTAAAGGAGATGACGCCGACGTTCTTGGACACGTTTTTCCTCCTAATTAACAATTAACGTATCGGTATTGATATATATTTTATAATTCTCAATTTACTTATTTGCAATAAAGCTTTCTCGACAATAAAACGTACAAATTCGAATATATGTGAGACGTTGTACGATTTGAGGAGCCGAGCTTACGCGGGGTGATTTGTTTGCGCGTCATCGATCATTACTACCATTAGTGATGATTATAAGCGCCTTCCGGTACTAATAGTACTTCCGGAATTTAATAGATACATAATAATAGAGTTATACACGCGCCATGTATCGCGCGACGCGCGGTACGCAGCACGATTGACACAAAAATGTCAAAAATACAACTCTATTTTTAGCGATCGATATTTTATTCCGGGAGATGACGGATTTCGGAAATGGATATTACAGAAACCGCTCGCTCCTCTCTCTAATAAAAAATGCTTAAATTTTGAGACGTGAACAGTGAATTTATTGTACCCTTACTTTCTCGCGCGCCAGGTGAGCGACGCGACCAGCTGCCGCGTTCAACGACAGGCAGTCGTTCATGATCTCTGCAGTCTGCGTTTTTTATCCTTTCACGATGAAATTCTCCATTATTCTCCACTTATACTCCGTTATACTCCATCGGGCGTTATACTAGTCGGCTGTCACTCTTGTTTGAGGTTTTGAGTTGAGATTGACGTTGAGGAAGGACGCGAGTACAACTGTTGCCATGACGACGCGGCCGGCGGCCGGCGGCTGGGCTGCGCGCGCACTCGGCACTCTGCACCTGCACTGTGTGGCACCAGTGTGCACTGTGTGCAGACTGTGCAGTACCAGCAGTGTAGTTAGTACTTAAGTAGTGTAGTATATACATATACAGCTGTGCAGGTGTGCTTGAGCACTATCATTATGCTCGCGCATTCTCACAATCATGCTGCATGCTGCATGCAGTAATCCACTAATCTAGTAATGCTCAGATGATGATAAAGGTACTTATTTTGGGTGAGCTTATTAATGATAAATAAATCACAATCGCAAAGCTGCGCAATGCGCAATGAGCGCGCGCGCGGTCTCGCGCGTCCGCGGCAGTCCGCGCGCAAAAATGATTAAAGAATAATAAATAGTGGATACTGGGTAGGACATAGGATAGACGACGACGACGACGACGACAACAGTTGAGAAAATCCGAGAGCCTGGGAACAGCCGGGAAAGGGCCGAGTGCGATAACTGCCAGTATACGATATGTCGGAGTCGGAAGTGAAATGGGATTGAACGAGTCATATAATAAAGTATAATTACTGTTACACTTGACGGTCCAAAAGTATATACTATTGCAGGTAGATCAAAATATAGATATAGGTAATATGTCACGTGTAATAACAAAAGTCACTTGTCAGTTATGTTGAAGCTAAATGGAAATGAGCTGTTTCAGAATACGATGAGAACATATGCGACTATACTTATCTAGATCGATCGCGAACAACGGCCACGAGAACGTGCCGATAGCTAATTGCTAATTTCATCGACCGAAATACGTTAATACGAAATATAATCGTTGCATGATCGTTTGAATTAAAATTTAAATCTTATCGAAACTGTCTATGACTACGTTTACACAGCTGTTTATAATCTAATTTAATAACTTCTGTATACTACCTGATCCAAAATTTTTCTTTTTATTATAAAACGATTATTTAAATATGAACCTATTTTGATATTTTAACATTGCATTTGAATCAATTTTTGATATATTATATATATTTACTAAAAAAGTTGTAGTTTAAATATCAAAAAAGGCTCATATATAAATGATCATTATGATAAAAAAAAAAGAAAAATTTTGGATCGGATAATATACGGTAGTTATATTAAACTGGATTATAAGCCACTGTGTAAACGTAGTCTATACATTTTTAATTTACTACAAAATAAAATTTTACTTCCTAGTATTTATAATATACCTAAATGTCTTAATAATGATATTATCAAGGATATTGTAATAGAAATAGTTTCCAAGTTTTACGACTGTGAATTAAGAATTACCTTAAAACGGTTAAATACAAATAGTTTGTTATATCCCTTATATGTTAATGTGATTATATAATCAGTAAAAGACATATATATTACTTAAATAATGATATTCTAAAATACAATTTAGCATCTTGTCACATTTTTAATTTACGTGTAATTTACGTGCATTTTTAGTTTAATGGTAAATGTAATTTGTTATAGGTACGTGGTTTAATTGACGGGCGTCTTATAAAGCGTACTTCAGGCGTGTCTTCGAAACCAATCGTACAAATTTCTAATACTCGCAGGCATCTCTTGTCGCAACGTGGCCATGTTCCATTCTTGATCGAGTATCCACGGCACGAAATATCAATATATCCTACACCTACAGATTATTATATTAATTTTAAAATCTACTACTTTTTTCTTTTCTCTATTTAATTCTTGACGTTTTATTATTTGAAATATATAATAATTAAATTATCTTGACCAGCAGCGTGTAATTAACAATCGCAACAAGGTAATATTTTATTTTCTGAAAGAAAGCTATAATCCAACTATACATTTCTATTCGCTTCATCTTGCCTTGATCTAGGTGTATATATATGTATAGTCTCGAAATTAATTTCAGTCGGTTTGTTATTGCAATTAAAATTGCAAAAAATGCAAAAGCGATCCCGCGATAGCGTCTGCAATGAATACGCTTTTTTGTAGACGGCGGTCCAGCAGCAGCAGCAGCAGTAATAGCAACAGCAACAACAAGCAGCAGCAGTGGCGGCGGCGGCGACGACGATGACGACAACGACGACGACGACAGCGGCGGCGTTGGCGACAGGGGGTACGTTATGCTGGGGGTGGCTTCGTCGCAGCGTGGCGAGAGAAAGAGAGAGTGAGAGTGAGGAAGAGGGAGAGAGGCGATGCGCGGAACGTATTCGATCGACCCGCGTGAGAGGAATGAGCTTGTACTGCGACAGAGTTCAGTCAGTCAGTCAGTCAGTCAGTCGGTCGGTGCCGCTATCAACCGCTGCATCGCGTTGAGCCTCTCGGAGGTCTCGCGAGAAACACGCAGCCGGTACGTTCGATCGCACCCCTTTTCTTTTTTCTCTTTTTCTTGCTTTCTCCATCTTGTCATTCTAAACTAAACGACCGATTTCTCGTCTTCCGCGGAACAGATCACAGGATCGCGTTCGATATATCGGTTTAATCACAATTGTGGACATATCCCCTTTTCTCCACACGTCGAACAAGACGAGAGAATACACGTGCGTGTGGAGCAGCGACGCACGAGGGGCGACGTCGACGTAAAGCGGGCGATTGGCGGAGCGATGTAGCACAAAGGTAACGCAATCCTTTTTCCCTCTCCACCACGCGTCTGTACCGCATGTATTACTATGCGGATTTATTTTCGGCCGGCCTGGATAACCAGTGGCCACCCGTTGCATGAAACTACGCGAGTTGGTCCCGTCGTGTCAGCTGTGGACTGATTACAAGCGGTTCACCCGGGGGGGGGGGGGGGGGGGTTGACGTCACCCCCCTGCTCGAATCTGGTCAACAACGAGCATAATTCCGTAACGGATATGATACGTTGTGTCATTGACATCATGTTCGCGTGGTTCCTCGGTTTCTGTAGGTTCCTGGGATTTTGCAATCCTTTATTTTTCATCTTATCTTTCTTCTGTTATGAATTCGGTATAATGTATAAGAGACGAAACTCACCTTTTCTGTTTCATCTTATTTACACAACCTTCTTTTTTTCCACAAAATACTTTTTAAAAATGAATTTAGTAAACGTTAAATTAGTTAAATCATTAAGGCACTTGTGTGTGCAATGATCGCGTGATATATGTATGTATACATATCGCTATAATACCGCTAACTATTCAACCATGCAATCCATAAATTGAGCAAATTTTAAATCGAGCATTACTGTGTATGTGTGTATGCTTAGAATAAATAAATACAGATATTTTATTATTTAAAATTTTCAACAAACTTGCGTTGCAATATATAAATTTCAGATCATCGCATACGCCCCGAGGCAAAATTTTATTTATGCATATTTTTGAAGAGTTTATTTCGTAGTAAAACATAAATTTTAGTACAACCACTTAGTAGTAACTTAGTTAAATATGTATAATAATTTCATAATTTCAATTTCAAGACTTTGAAAGGACAGGTCAGAAGACACGGATATCCTCAACAAAAATTGATTTTTTTAATGCGAGACCTACCATCCTCTAAAGTTTGTCTTATACCTTCTGAAACACTGTATGTGTATTATATACATTAAATCTTCAATTTCATAAAATATATATTATGCATATTAATATATTCTAATATATAATGAATTATCTCTTTAACATTTTTAGAACATGTTTGGATTCGAGATAATAAAATTTTAATTAGAAAATTGTCGCAATCTATAAATATAATTTCTGAATTTTAACAGTAATTTTATATATTTTACCAGTTTACTTCTTTGCATTTGCTGTATTTATAAACAAGAGATCTATTTTATAAAATAGAAAACTATTAATATAGATTTTCATGTCCTATAGTATAACGCAAGCACGAACGACGTGGCGCGATAAAGTTTGTCTTTGCATATGGATCTTGGGATTGTGCGATAGCTTTGATCGAGGAATCGTCATGTCGACGATCGATTCAGAAAGACTATTCTTCACATTTCACGTGACCTTGCCCAACTACAAAACGTACATTCACACAAAGATTTTAACGCGTGTAATTTCAACAAGTTCCATCTCTATATAGCTATGTGCGAAAATAGACTTTACGCCAATTAATCATATTTCTATCATTGATAACAAAGATAAAGATAGATTCTCGCTTATCTGTAGTCTATAGCATTGAAAAGTGTATAATTTACCAAAGTAACTTATCAGCTTTAAACTTTACTTTGGCACAATGAACAAGTTCAAGAACATAATGTTGGTGTTGGTGCGCCCGTGCCGTTTACACCTCGTATATAATAACGCATACTTGGCAGACGCGTTGCGTCGAAACCCGTCGATTACATCGCGAATATGGACTTTGGTTTTGTATAACTTTCAAGGGTGACAAAAAGCTTGTCAATAAAAAATTGAACGCGAAGCTTATATTGGCGAGGAAACCTTGCCAATTCTGGAAATCAGGAAATTCTAATTTCAATGAAACTCCGCGCACGCATCCAAGAAATGCCAAAACTGATGAATAGTAAATGGAAAATTTTTAACTTATGTAGTGTCTCATACATGTGTATATATATATATATATATATATATATATATATATATATATATATATGTATATGTACAATCTGAAGGAATAAATGTAATTGATAAAGGTATTAAATTATAGTTTTGCGATTTATGCAGAAAGACGTATATGTGATGTCGCGCGCAAATTGAATAATTAAGTTCTCTGCATCATGTAACGATTCACCATTCACGCACTGCGTAATCTTCCGCGGTCATCAACAGCCATCAAGCTAATCTGCGTTTCTCGCGAATTCCCAATTCCGCGATATGTAGCGTGCGTGAGGCGTGTCAAGAATTCCGTCTCGTAATCTCGGCTTTAAGGCCGAGACGACAATTATCGCGCGGTTACGATTCATTAGGTGAGGCCCACGCGAGATTGATCTAATACGATGACAAATGTATCCTGATTCTTTCGTGCAGGCAACATGTTCCTGTTGCTGTCAGTGAACGAACGGAGATTGCTGCAGTAGCCGACCATTCTGAGAGAATCTTCATCCTATCGATATAAGCACGTCCCACTTTTTTTCCAAGTAAACATCCCCGCGGATCATGAAGTGGCTCTCCGTCAGCAAGACATTCACGTGGACGTTCTGCCTGTCCACCATTTTATTCCTGCCAGCGAGAACAAGTAAGGCGCGACACACACGAAAGTAACGTAAAATTGACATGCAATCGTCACAAAGAGCACAACAAATAGTTTTTATTCTTATTAAGGTAGCGAGTAGTAGAGCGAGTTGTAGCGAGTTTGATGGCGCGTCAAGTTTTATACAATGATCGACATAGGAATCGTGAGGGAAAAGTGATATGGTCCGAGTGAAAAGAATAATATAAGTGTCTTGAGACACGTATCTCTCTCGCCTAGGTAAAAATGCTTACAAGATACTGCCCAAGTACACTCTTTGGTTTTGTGTGTTTTTAGATATAGCTCGCAAAGCAATTAACCATTTAATGTCAACAAAAACGATAGATTTTCTTGTTCACATATTGTTAAATTTTCCATTATAAAAGAAATTCGAAACATAATTATAAACTATTTTACCAAAGAGTCTTTTAAGCGCGGTTTTTCATATGTATTTTTATATCTTTTGTGTATGCTTGTTGCTTTAGTTAAATATATATGTTATTTTTATTTTTTCTCTATCTATCCACCTCTCTCAAGTACTAATTTTTACTCCAGTTTGATATTCTCTTATGCGTCACTGTGCCACTGTACGTTGTTTTGTTTCTTACTGTGGTTTCTTAATATAATACAATCGATTTAAATCTCGAAGCTTATATTATTAAGCAATTCCATTTAAAGAATGCAAAGATCAATACATTATTTAAATGCTGGAATTTTCGTAAATTCTTCAGGAAAAGTTAATGTCGATTCTAAATTATTGACGACATCGCCCACTTCCAAATAGATTTTCGAAATGATTTGTACAGTACATGTTTCGGCGTGTGACATACGATTGCGGAAACCAGATTGCGCAACTGCCAATCTGCAATGTGGTAAATTTTTTCAGATGCTCTGGAGGAGAATTGTACGGATTTTCAGGGTGGCACCGTCAAACACGGCCTCTTCTACGTGCCAGGACCTGCGGTTTGCAGTCTCTGCGTCTGCTATCATTCCGAGCCATTGTGGTGTCAAGCCATTTACTGTACGCCACCATACGTGAGTAGTCGAGCTAGAATGCGAGAAACACTGCACGCACTCATCTCTTTTAACTGCTTTTTAATTATATTCTCTCTATACCGGCCCGCGTCACTGATTAAAATCAATGTTGTACATGCGCCGCTGTCTCAAGTCCGAAGTAGCACAAAGTTCCATGTCGTACATTACGCACTTAACGACCGCTATGCCGTTAATAAGCGCGCAATCGGCTTTGTATGCTAGTTCGCAAGGGGAGTCTTAACAACCGCCATAACGAAGTAGACGTGTTAATGTTGGTTCTATATTTCTTGTGCTAAAAGTAGAATAAAAATCAGTGTAGAAGAAAGTTGTTATATAACAATAAAATATAGATGATAATATTATTCATGTATTTTATAAAATATTTTATATGATATAAATTATATGTTCTATTATCAATAGAAACATTTTTCAGCGAGGATTATAGTAGAAGAAGGCAATCTTTACAACTAATCTATATTTGTATTATATTTCAACTATCTATTTATTTGTAGTAGTATTGTGATGTATGAGAATTTTTGTATACAGAATCAAATTACTTAGAATATTATAGAATTTTTTATGTATAATTCTCGAGACGATAGCCAAAAATTTAGTATTCCGCTAGTGGATGTAATTTACTTCAAACTTAATTATTTAAAAAAGTTTCGTTTAATTTGCTCAGACGAGAAATAGTCGGAAAGAGAAATATGTCTTTTTTTTATATAAATAATAGCACTAATCCGATTGCTCAACGGGATGGTTAATAATCGCTTTATTAAATTTCTCCCAATTAGACCTTACAAGTGCCACAGAAAAGTTTGGAGAAAAGTTTGTTAACAAGATTTTTTTCGAATATAAATTTCACATGTGGCACCAAAAGTAATACTTTTATGCTTCTAAATTTTTACATCTTTAATTTTTATTTGATCTATGCTTGACCTAATGCTTAAAAAAATGCAAGTATTATAGTATTTATCCTTACATAATTAATTGTATATAGTTCAATTGTATGTATAGTTTCATGCTCACGAAAGATCAAGAAAATTGATGTATCGCGTGTCATAAAGTGTCTTTATGAATGCGGGCGCATAGATGCATCAGATAGTATGTATATACACGTTCACGCAATTAACTCGACGTTTCACACGTCGTTAAACATCTATGCACGTACGTTATCGTGTATGTGCATAGATGTTTAACGCGATGCATTTTTTTGCGATAGGTCTCATGTAGGGCAGTAGGACCTGAACTACGATTTGCATGCGACGGTTTTATGCTAATCTTGCCTACAATTGCAACATCATCTCTCGCTATATGTGAGAATTCGGTTGAGTTACTGCACAAGTTGCAATATATATATATATGTTACTAAAAATTATTTATCTATATAAATAAGCTTCAAATTACATTTCTATGTATGTCCTTATATGTGTCTTTATACATATATGCTTTATATATATACATATATATATATATATATATATATATATATATATATATATATATATATATCTAGGATACACGCGCACGTATTGTAATGTATTGTGATATAATTTTCCATAAAATACTTGAAGATAACTTATATCTCAAAACTAAAATTTTTTTTTATTCTTTATATTTTATAATGCAACAGCTATGTTATGAGATAGACAAACGCTATTTTCTACGAGAGAATCGCTATAGCATACTTTTATCTAGTTGTTTTAAAGTTAAACGATGTTTTAAATTATAAATCAAGCTCTCAAACGCTTATGTCGCCGATCTCATGTCGCGATTGTTCCGCAGAAATGCAAAAAGTTCCGCGTGGGTGAACGCTGCTGCGAGTTCGAGTGTCTTGACGATAGCGACGATTGGAGTGGCCCAGACGTATACGACGCTGCAGGATCGTCCAAGATCCACAAGCAGAGTCCCGTCCTGTGCCTGTTTGGCCTGTTGATCGCGTTATCGATGGTGCCTTAGTTACGATCAGACGAGATCCGCCATCAGTCGTCATCGCCATTATAGACCTTTCCCTCGTCGGATAATTCGAAGAATTCATCCGTTAGTGATATTGGTGACGACGATGATGATGACAACATCAGAATTATACGTACAAGAAATCCTCGAGGCAGGTTTGTCTCGTACTGTGAGCACGCAGTATTTTGGCGAACGGCAATGTTCTTTGCCTATAGGATAATTAGGTCGTCCATTTGGAATAGCGCGAGCTCTGATTAACCGAGAACTGGAGTTTTCTCCAGTAGACCGGTACAGTTAAATTGTTAAATCGAAGATCAATCGAGTCACTTTTTGAATAATTGTGAAAAATTGAGAAAACAATATTTATTTTACATTAATAATAAATAACGGGATTCGTAAACGTACGTGTTTCGACGATAGTTTCAATAGTAGTTATTGTTATTGTACATACCAAATTAAGAAGATGTATATTTTTTTCATAACTTTGCTAAGAGAGCATTTATAAGCACTTGTGAATTTGGTCAGGTTTGGAGCGCGCGTGCGCATACAAACACACAAAGAAACAAAAAAACACTCATACACAACGCGTGAACAAGTCTTTTTTATTTTCTCAATTTTCCGATTTCTTTTGAAACCGGGTTTCCTCATATTTTTCCACCTTGTCAAATTCGATATAATAACACTTGTCAGACGGCACGCAAACTCGATATCGAGTTAAAACCTACTCATATTCGAATGTGAAGGAATGACGTGAGAGTAGCTCTTGGCCTAATCCGAACACTCAGATGTCAGCCACTGTCATGTACGAGGTGTACTTGATCTCGTTTCGAAATAAAATTCAACATTTTGTTGTTCAGGAAACACATGCGCAATAATGTACATAAAATAATCGTTAGAAAATTGATTCGATGCTCAATTCTCGATCAGCTTTCTCGGCTTAACCGGTACCAATTCTCGAGAATGATCGTAATAGATATATAATAAGGGACATCGTAAAATAATGAATGTAAAAATTGGCGAAAATCTCTAGCATTTATATATGATCATCGCCTTTGACAATACTCGCGCTCGATGGACGACCGAAGGAGACTGAAAATAATAGAGACTTGGCGCGCACAAGCGTGTGCGTGCGTGGTAAATCAAAATTTTTATTTTTTTATTGTCGCAAAACGAAGTGTGATAAAGTGCGCAGAAACACAAGTCTCTTGTCAACGAACATTGGGAGCTGAGATATTCCGTCGAGTGCGCGATATCCTCTTTGTTTGAAAGAGAGAGACTCGTTTCAATCTCCAATTCAATCGATTTTACCGTTCATTCGTTTTGCTTTACATCGGGTTTGTCGGTAAACAAGCCTTTCTGTTGGTTTCTGTCAAAAAGGCATCTCGCTCTGTTTCCACGATTAAAATTCATTAAAATGATAAACTCGGGCGGAGCTCATGCGATGAATCAACGTCCATCGATTTATCGTTTCAGTTTTACTTCATTTGCTTGTCATTCTGTTTATCTTTGGCAAAAAATTCCTTTTCGTCGATAATCACCGCGATGTTTGTTCCGCGTGTGCGAGAAAAAACTTTTCTTTATTACGAAAAATTCAACAAATTACTCGAGTCAAGCGGTTTTACTTTGTCAAGTCTAATGACAAAGTGTTTGCTCGCGTATGGCTGCAAGATTTTATTACAATTTCATATAAATCGATCTTATACGAAAGGTAACGTACACGTATTAAAGAGATAAAAGGTATTATTTATGCAAATATTAGTTATGATTAGTACTCGGGTGTGAAAAGACACAAAATGCATGAAAAGTTTGAGGAAAAACACACTAATACACTTATTTTGTGTGTAAAAGTTCTTGTCTATTATTTTTTTTATTATACGCATTTAATATTTTTCTATTTCGAAATATAAATTTCAATAGAAACGAATAATATCGGTATGCAACTTGACGATGAAAGTTTAGATGTTTCGTATCCCGATAATGTACTCTTCCGCTCGCTTCCACATTACAAAACATTTTGATTATTCTCGTTCCAATTAACACTCGACCACCAATTAACTATTATTCGCACGACATTTCAAAGCGGCGATAATTATAATAAGCGCCTGGATTTTCATGCGATAACAAGCCGGTTAATTATAATTGCTGTGGAATTGCGATACTGCGCCATTAATTGTTAATCGATATATATATGTAAGCTGAAGCATAAATTATTTACGCGAACAAGTTTAATATCCTGAAAGTATCTGACAATTGCGGATTAGTGATCGATGCGAATGCGACTTTGGAGCCTTGCCATATTACAGAAAATTCTCTTATTTTATAACGCTTACTTACTGGAAACAATCAAAAGAGTTGACTGCTTTTAATGAAACGGTATTCTATCGAAACGGTATTCTAATACCAACACCAGCGATAAAGCCGAGCAACATGGGGCCACACGAATTGTAATAGTATAACGTACCCAAACGTGCTTTCTTGGTCTTTTCACGGTGAAATGTGAGGGTGAAAATACGGTGCTATTATATAAGTCATTTCTCGCTAAGGAAGGTGACGCTGTATATGTTACGAATATCTGCGAGTCTCCAGTATTGCGACACCGCGTATTCCGATATTTGCGCACGTACGCTTGCCTGTGATATATTTTTACGGCGTTTGATTACTCTCCTCCTCCTTGGATCGCTAATCGCTTTGCGAATCTCAGAGGCTTCGATTAGCGCTGTGAATGTCTCTGACGAAAGCAGTCCTCTTTAAGAACTGGAGATAAAAATAAGGATGGAGCAATCGTAATTGCACAAGGATGACGATGGTAATAATTAATAATTAATATATTGATTAATATTTATATTTATATGATCGATTAATTAATAATTACGCAGAAATTCTATTTACTACATGAAAAAGGTATTATTACAGAAGACGTGTTATTCTTTTTAATAATATTTATCCGTAAGATTCTATAAACGTTATGATCGTGAATTATCATTATTGTTAATAAAAATCATCTGTCCTATCATCTTCGACTTGGCGCAAAAAGCGAGAAAGGAACGAGAGAGTGATGGCGCGAATCAATTGTTATGTGAATTAATTAATTAAGGGCCGCTCTATCACAGGGTATTTGCGAATAAGCATCCAAGTCGATCCACGCGAGCGCTTTATATTATATATATATATATATATATATATTTCTTATTTCCGCAGACATCTCTTTCATTTCAATTCCGTCACGCGGAAATTCATAGTTTCGCAACCATTTGTAATATATGTCTCCGTTGTTAGGAGCTTGCTCACTTATTACCACGTGTTTATGTCATATTGAAGCGTTGAAGGCAATCTTTCAATCGCGTCAATTTGAGATACTAAACATCTCAATTGAGCCGCTCTCAATATCGAAGGCGGACTAGTCTCGACTCTCTTGCATTTGAATTTTAAGCAATAATAAGTACATTGCCTGAGTTTTGCGCATAAATCAAGGTCAAGTTTGACAAACGGCGCCATTGAAGCCACTGAAGCAAGAGCGACAAAAAGGATGTTTGAGATTAAGTTATGATAGCTTAAATATGATAGACTTGTTCATAGTATGCGCGATGCCTGGCTCGGATGTGACCTAGTTTTTCAATGCAATTTTGCTGTTTTCAAAAGTTTCAAAAAATTTTGTCAGATTTTTCGATGCTCAACTATCTAGATTAAAACACATTTATATGTATATCTTTCTAAACATTTTCATTAAAAAGAAAGTAAATAGGATATTATCATGCTTAGAAAATGCATATGTACCTCCGGGTCAAGTATCGTAATAAATTTTGAATTGAATTTATTTAACAATTTTATTGTCCCGTCTCGACGAGACAGCAGTGATAACCTTGGCTGATGGAAAACACAGAATGACACTTTTCCTGAATGCCTCGCCATTATACTTTTGCTCTCTTCTTCCTCTATATCCATCCTAATCCAGAGAATTATTAATCGACCAATTCTTCTAAGCTTACATAAAAAAAACTGACCTAACGCGTTTACAAGAGTAAGAGAAGATATATACATATATATCGATATAAATAGCTAACCAATAGCTTTAATATATTACCGCAATACGTACTTTTGACATAATAATGTCATATAATGATCAAGGGGCCTTTTATGTGTGAGTGATCATTCAGAGAATCCATATTGTGAAATTACAATAAAATTTAATTCAAAATACCAAATAAACTCGAATATGGTCTCTGGTTTGAACGAATCGTTCTTTGATTCCCTTGAGCAACAAAGAAGCACATCAATAAAATAAGATTTAATGATAAGACGAAAGTAAAACGTGGTATATATCAAAAGATATTAAATTTATTCAGAATATAAAGTTTACTCGCCGGTAATTACATCTAAAACACCGTATCGCATGTGTCTTTACAACACGTGTGAATACAAGATATTTATATCTATAAAGTATTCTCGAATGCAAAATTTAGAACCTTATCCCTAAATAGTTAATCATCTTATAGGATTGCCTTGGATTGCTTATGACAACACATGTGAACGTGCTTAATAATGTATAAGCATTATCATTATCAGTAACATTTTCCTAATTTTCCTTCTTCCAAACGGTGTCATACAGATCTGTACGACGTTGATCGAACGTCGGGATTTGGGCTCTGACTTGATCCACGATTTTCAGATCTGTAATAATTCATTATTTCGATATATAGAATGCAATCATTTCCTATATTAATTTATTATATATATATATATATATATATATATATATATATAT